GCCTCGACCTGCTGGGCTCTGGCGATCCTTCTGCCTCAGCCTTCCGAGTAGCCGGAACTACAGGCATGCGCTACCATGCCCTTCTTTCTATCTTAAATTGAAAAACATCAACTTAAAACTTTTAAGATCTAGTCAACAAGTTCCATATCCTAAACTGTAAACTGAAACCAAGCTTCTTCAATAAGTGCGTGAATCTGTGTTATTTATTTACTGTCATGAAATTCATTATAAACAAATCAAGAACAGGTGATAAACTTGTTTTCTCTTTGCTGCTATTGCTAATTTTAAACTAAGAGTGACAACGCTTCTTTAAGGAACAGTACTATATTCCATCTCTTACTCAGCTGTTTTAGATCTTCAACCTAAATGCCTGCTGTTACCCTCTTTTTTGATAGAATTTATGACACTGAGCTGGGCTCGGTGGCTCAGCCTATAATCCCGCGCCTTTGGGAGGCTGAAGTGAGTGGATTGCCTGAGCCCGTGGGTTCGAGACCCGCCTGGGCAACTTGGCGAGACCTCATCTCTACAATAAATCAAAAAATGAGCCGGGCATGGTAGCACATGCCTGTAATTCTGGCTACTTGGAAGGCTGAGGCGGAAGGATTGCCGGAGCCCAGTGGGTCGAGGCTGAGGTGGCCGGGAGCGGCCACTACACTCCAGTCTGGGCGACAGAGTGAGACTCCAACTCAAAAAAAAAAGAATTTATGACACTGAAATATATATGGGTATCTAAAACTGTAAGCAAGTTATCACACAAACACTGCTTGTAAGTTATTTGGTCTAAAGAAGTAAATAAGCTACATTGAAATAGACTGTGAAATTCATATATAAATTTTGTGTTATAAAGAGTGACTTACATGTGCTACATTTGATGGCCGGTTAATCTGCTGAATGTCAGCATTATTAGTAATATTTCTCAATGTCCGCACAGCTGGACTCCAGGTAGCTATCATTTCTGGTCTTTCAGAACTTTGGAGATTTTGTCCAGAAGCCATCACATTACCCCGGACATCAGGAGGCAAAATGTTACCTGGGACCGGTGGGACATTGGCACATAAGTTAATCAGCCCAGGCTCCTTTCCCTGAGGCAGTCTGCGTTTTGCCACAGCTAACTGTGGAACTTCAGCTGGAGTCCAATTTAAATTTCTCTCTTGTTTTTCAGGTGATGAATCTGAAGAGTCATCAAACATCAACTCTCCTTTAGATTTTTCAGTGTTTGATTTGGGTGAAAACTGTTGGTCACCTGAAGGAGATCCTTCTTGAGAACTGGCAGGGCTTGACTTTTCATCTGTACTACCCTCATTTTGAGAATCTTGTTCTTCATTTTCTACTTCCTCCTCCTCTTCTTCCTCTTCTTCCTCTTCATAAATTATCAGACGAGGATGATAAAATGCTTCATCCTTTTTGGTTTTCTCAGATATGCAATCCAGGACCCAATCAGGTGTCACAATTTTAATACTTGCTCGCTTTAAAGCGCATTCATATTTCTCCTATGAGTAAAGAACAAACACAAAACAGACTATAAATGTTATCAAATTTCCTAGAATTATGCATTTAAAAAAAGAAATGTAGGAGAGGAACACAGGTGAAATGTTTGGCAACTGTTATTGCCATTTATAAGAAAAGTGCGATCTTTTAGATAGAGAACATGAGCCAGATGTTAAAGTTAACCATATATCAATGACCATAGGACGGTCTCATGCCTACCATAGGAGTCTTAAAAGACTCTGCTTAAAATTAACTGTTTAAAGTTATATTTTAAGTGCAAACATAGAGCTAGGAACCTTGTAGAAGATTATTAAATGAATAATTGCTAGCAAATCTTTTATTTATTGATAATTTTTACAAAGTTGGTTTTCCATGACAGATTTATTTAAGTAAATGCTTCATGTTTAGTTACAGGAGTGAGACTAACATCCACAGGAAAGCTTTCTTAATTAAGTTTATTCTATATGCCAACTAACACTAAGGGTTGGAGAAACAAAGGATGCAACAAGTCTCTGAACTAACAAGGTTCACAATTTAGTTCTAAAGAGAAATTAAATACACAATGAGAATACAATATTAAACCGGTGCTAAATGATGTGGCAATAGATTAGAAAAGAATACTAGGACTTTCAGTGAGGACTTGGGGAAAGCCTCACTGAAAGGTGAGCTTTGGCTGGGGAACTAATAATGATAATTTGCACAATAGAAAGAAGCAAAAAATACTGCATAATGAAAAGATGTGTACAACGTCTGATGCCCGGTATGCTGACAGGTAGAGAGTTCTCTTGCTGGAAAGGGTGTCAATGTGGAAAGCACAGGGGAACAAATACCAAAGGAAAGAGGAAATAAATGGACAATTTTTTTTTTTTGAGTTGGAGTCTCACTCTGTCGCCCAGGCTAGAGTGCAGTGGCATGCTCATGGCCACTGCAGCCTGGACCTGCTGGGCTCAGGCGATCCTTCCACCTCAGCCTTCCAAGTAGCCGGAACTACAGGCACACACTACCACGTCCAGCTGACTTTTTGATTTATTGCAGAGACGAGGTCTTACCATGTTGCCCAGGCTGGTCTTGAACCTGAAGGCTCAGACAATCCTCTTGTCTTGGCCTTTCAAAGTGCTGGGATTATAGGCTTGAGCCATCATGCCCAGCCGATGGACAATTTTAAATAAGAATATCACAATAATAAAGCAACTCTAAAATTTTAAAAAATTGTAAATTTGGCTCTGCTTCTAAAAGCCTAGCATGTAACAGTCATTTTCTAGCAAACATATAATTGGAGCCCTAGACTAAGTTCTATGTTGTGTTGTGGAGCCCCAAGGTGCAACTTGCAGTTTATGGCCAGAGAAGTAAGAATCACACTCCACAGGTTGAGAGGAAGCAGCAGGACAGAGGAAGATGCTTGCAGTCACTCAGTCCTAAAGGAGAATGAGGCCTTGTGAAATGAAGCACTATAAACCAAGGAGATGTATATACTGGCAAAGAATAAGTGCCTCTCCAGGATAAGTAATTTAACCTGTCATTTTTGAGGCTGTTCTTTCTCAAAACTTTTTTTTAAATACTGTAAAACTTAGTCATGGGAGATACCCACGTATAAAAAGCTAAGCAAAGAAAGATGAACATAGTCATAATCACACTGACTAGAGAGGGCCAAAATGAGCATTTTTAGCATACAGTTTAAACTATTTTTGTTGCCAGGCATGGTTGCTCACACCTGTAATCCCAGCACTTTGGGAGGCTGCAAGTGAGAGGATTGCCTGAACTCACAGGTTCAAACCAGCCCAGGCAAACTAGTGAGACATCGTCTCTACAATAAATAAAAAAAATTAGCCAGGCATGATAGTGTGCACCTATAGTTCCAGCTACTTGGAAAGCTGAGGTGGAAGGATTGCTGAAGCCCAGTGAGTCAATGCTGGGGGAGTCGTGAGTGTGCCACTGTACTCCAGCCTGGGCAACAGAGACTCACTCAAAAATAAATAAATAAATAAAACTATTTTTGTTATAAATATATGTGTTTATATATTAAAAGGGTAGGGGGAGAAAACAATGTCACAGTATACAAATACTTTATGTGCCTTTCACAATTAATAAATTTTGAGGCCAGGCGAGGTGGATCAAGCCTATAACCCCAGCACTTTGGGAGGTCGAGGCGAGAGGATTGCCTGAGCCCACGGGTTTGAGACCAGCCTGGGCAACATGGCGAGACCTCATCTCAGTAAATCAAAAAATTAGCTGGGCATGATGGTGTGTGCCTGTAGTTTAGCTACTTGGAAGGCTGAGGAGAAGGATCGCCTGAGCTCAGTAGATCCAGGCTGCGGTGGATGTGAGTGTATCACTTTACTCCAGCATGGGCGACAGAGTGAGACTCCAACAAAAATTAAAAATAAATAAATAAATTTTGAATAATCTCCTATATCAACATGTATACTTTTCACTAGCACTTTTGCTTTTAGCTTTTAATGTACATTTTCAAAGACAGGTTAAATGAGAGAACAGTACAATAAATCTCCTGTACCTGTAACCCAGTTTCAATTAATTGGCAACTTTTCACAAATCTTGCTTCATTTATCTCTTCCCTGACTTTGCTTATGTATCCCTAACTGATCATGTCTTTCTAAACACCACCATTATCATACTCAGTAAAATTAACTGTAATTCCTCTCAAACTCAGATCTTATTCAAAACTCCCCAGTAGTCTCAAAAGTCCTTTTGTAGTTCCATACAGCAGTTTTAACATTAGCATGCTATTCTTTTGCATAGTTGTATAATTTAGTCCATCCTTGTTAGCCATACAGTCGTTTTTAGTGTTTTGCTATGAAACACTGAAGCTATATTTTATGATAAATTCCTAGGTTTTAATGTTCAGGTTTGAAAGGTAATATTGACTTTAGGCTTCATATCTGTAACTATACTTCCTTCCCAACAAGGCTATACCAATTTTCACTTCCACCAGTTATGCAGAGGTCTATCAATTTACTTGTGATGATACTTTTTATTGCTTTCCCTAAAAGTCATGTTGTTCTTAAATATTTAAATATAAAATGTTATACAGATCCCCCTATAATAAATGCAGATGATAAATTTCTACAGGAAGACTAGAGATTTTCAATTTCTGGACTACCCATCCCAGAAGAACCTGAGTTATTTTAGGAAAATATGAAGTCCAGGTATACACCAATATATTTATAAACTAAATATTTAATACAAATATATAATATGCTTGAGTAACATATTATATACATATGATTTATATGTTATTTTTCCAAGGTAGAAAGTTATTTGCTAAAATAATAAAATATAAAAGAAGTGATTTTTAATTATTTAAAAATACCAAAAAGAAAACTACTGCCATAAAGAAGAGTCACAGGAAATTTTGGATAATACAAAGAGAATTTCATACTTAAGAAGTTGGGGTCCACTGTAGTAGTCTCAAGTTCCTAATTTGTAGAGTGCTGCCACTTCATATGTCAGGAAAGACTTGACTATTTCCTACAAAAATCTAAGTAAAACTTAGTAAACTACCTTCTCATAGTTCACTCAAGTTTTCCTCTTACTTTTACAAAGTAAGTAGTTTTTGTCACTGAAAGACAGCTACTGTTTAAACAAAGATGATTTCAAGAGCAATGCAATATTTAAATGTCTTTGAGCCAACTTATCAATTACATTATTTTATATCTGTAACTCATCAAGTAACTCACGAAGTGCCAAGGACCTTAGGAATCAACAGTGAGTCTGACAGCTGGGGTAACCAGTGGTGACCTGGAGCTGGTTGATCATAAGCATCTTTTCCCAACTTCACCTCTGGCAACATCAGATTAGTTAGTTGACATCTGCCAGAGTGGGGTTATTTGTTTTTTTGTTTTTGTTTCTTTTTGAGTAGAAGTCTTACTTTGTCACCCAGGCTGGAGTGCAGTGGCACGTCCACAGCCACTGCAGCCTCAACTTGCTGGACTCAGGCGACCCTTCCACCTCAGCTTTCCAAGTAACTGGAACTACAGGTGCACACCACCACACCCAGCTAAATTTATTTTTTTTAATTTATTATAGAGACAAGGTCTTGTCAAGTTGCCCAGGTCTCATCAAGTTGTCAGGATTGCCTGAGTCTAGGATCCCCTAGACTCAGACAATCCTCTCACCTTCGCTGTGATTATAGACATGAGCCACCGTGCCTAGCCAACAGTGGGGGCATTTACACTTGACACTGTAAATGCTACAAACCAGCCCCATCTGTCCAATAACTCATAACCATACCTTGTTTCTGTTGGTTGTAAGTTATAAATTCCTGCATTCTTCTTAATTTGAAACTTTTAAACTTCAAGAATACAAAAAGTAGTTTTATGCCATTTGCAACATTTTCTCTATTCACTCATTTTTAAAAAATGCAAAAACAAATTTACTTTAAAAAGAAATGACATTTACTTTTGTGTGTAGTCAGCTAGTCTCTAGCACTCATATAATTTATAAATTGAAAACTACATCTAAATTCATCATTATTAGGTTTACAAATTTATGTCTGAATAGATTATAAAGTATTAGGAAAGAATGACCAAACTTCAGCCTTTCCAAAGAGATTTAATTTCAAATATTGTGGTTATTTAGATATATAAGCCATAGATATAATGAAGAATCAAGAACATAATGACTAATTATAATCCACATTAACTTGAAACCATTTTGCTGTTATAAATAGACTATGCCAGAACATATGGTTCTTTACGTCACATGATAGATTGATGTTTCTCAGCCTTCAGGAACTGAGTTGGGAAGAACTGGGGAACAGGGAAGTTGAAGTAGAAACCACCAAATCTTAAGGAAGGTGCATGCCCATCATGGTCCAACAGTGAACATGACAATACTGCTATAGATAGAGATGGCAGATAGATATGGGTTCAAATTACCACTTTTTGGTTCTGTAATCTTGGCCAAAACTATTTAACCCAGTAATACTAAAGAGGATTTGCTACCACTCCATAGAGTTTTAGAAATGTGTGAAGGCCTGGGCCTT